GAGCGACCCCAAAGATTCCACCAAGGAACTGATACAGCTTATAAACACTTTAAGCAACATAGCAGGATACAAGATCAACTCAAAAAAATCAGTAGCCCTCCTTTATACAATTGACAAACAGGCTGAGAAGGAAATCAGAGACACATCACCCTTTACAATAGCCAAAAATGATATAAACTACATTGGGGTAACACTAACCAAGCAAGTGAAGGACCTATATGACAAGAACTTTAAGTCCCTGAAAAAAGAAATTGAAGAAGATGTCAGAAAATGGAAAGATCTCCCATGCTCATGGATAGGCAGGATTAACATAGTAAAAACGACAATCTTACCAAAAGCAATCTACAGATTCAATGCAATCCCCATCAAAATACCAACACAATTCTTCACAGACCTGGAAAGAATAATACTCAACTTCATATGGAAAAACAAAAAACCCAGGATAGCCAAAAGAATCCTGTACAATAACACAACCTCTGGAGGCATCACGATCCCTGACTTCAAGCTCTACTATAGAGCTACAGTAATAAAAAACAGCTTGGTACTGGCATAAAAACTGACATGTGGACCAATGGAATTGAATTGAAGACCCTGACATTAATCCGCACACCTATGAACATATAATTTTTGACAAAGAAGCCAAAACTGTACAATGGAAAAAAAGAAAGCATCTTCAACAAATGGTGCTGGCATAACTGGATATCAACGTGTAGAAGGCTGCAAATAGATTCATATATGTCACCGTGCACAAAACTTAGGTCCAAGTGGATCAAAGACCTCAACATAAATTCAGCTACTCTGAACCTGCTAGAAGAGAAAGTAGGAAGTAGTCTTGAACGCATTGGCATAGGAGATCACTTCCTAAATATAATACCAGTAGCACAGACACTGAGAGAAACAATCAATCAATGGGACCTTTTGAAACTGAGAAGTTTTTGTAGAACAAAGGATACAGTCAACAAGGCAAAGCGACAGCCTACAGAATGGGAAAAGGTCTTCACCAACCCCACATCTGACAGAGGATTGATATTCAGAATATATAAAGAACTCAAGAAATTAAACATCAAAATGCCCAACAGTCCAAATAAGAAATGGGATATAGAACTAAACAGAGAATTCTCAACAGAGGAAACTCAAATGGTTGAAAGACATTTAAGGAATTGTTCAACATCCCTAATTATCAGGGAAATGCAAATCAAAACAACTCTGAGATACCATCTTACACCTGTCAGAATGGCTAAGATCAAAAACACTGAAGACACCTTATGCTGGAGAGGATGTGGAACTAGGGCAACTCTCCTCCACTGCTGGTGGGAATGCAAGTTTGTACAACCACTTTGGAAATCAATATGGCGTTTTCTTAGAAAATTGGGAATCAATGTCCCCCAAGATCCACCATACCACTCTTGGGCATATACCCAAGGAATGCTCAATCATACCACAAGGGCACTTGCTCAGCTATGTTCATATCAGCATTGTTTGTAATAGCCAGAACTGGAAACAACCTAGATGACCTTCAACTGAAGAATGGATAAATAAAATGTGGTACATATACACAATGGAATACTACTCAGCAGAGAAAAACAATGACGTCATGAGGTTTGCAGGCAAATGGATGAATCTAGAAAAAATCATCCTGAGTGAGGTAACCCAGACTCAGAAAGACAAGCATGGTATGTACTCACTCATAGGAGGATACTAGATGTAAAACAAAGATGACTAGACTGCTACTCATAACTCCAGGGAGGCTACCAAGGATGCTTTGAAATCATACAATTCACTGGGGTTAACCTGGCAAGATGCACAGGTTTGATATTGCCCACTGTATTAAATTAACTCAAATGTGACTTTATATCTATTCTTCTCTCCCTATGGCTCTCATGCTGACCAATGAAGTTAGCACTTTTCTTTTTTCTTTTCTTTTCTTTTTTTTTTTATTTTACATTGCAATTCGGTTCTACATATCAGCCACGGATTCCCTTGTTCTCCCCCGTCCCGCCCCTCTCCCCTTCCCCCCAGTAGATCCCCCATTCCCACCTCCTCCAGGGCAAAGCCTTCCCCGTGGACTGAGATCAACCTGGTAGACTCAGTCCAAGCAGGCCCAGTCCCATCCTCCCAGGCCAAGCCAAGCGACCCTGCATAAGCCCCAGGTTTCAAACAGCCAACTCATGCAATGAGCACAGGACCCGGTCCCACTGCCTGGGTGCCTCCCAAACAGATCAAGCCAATCAACTGTCTCACCCATTCAGAGGGCCTGATCCAGTTGGGAGCCCCTCAGCCATTGGTTCATAGTTCACGTGTTTCCATTCGTTTGGCTATTTGTCCCTGTGCTTTATCCAACCTTGGTTTCAACAATTCTCGCTCAAATAAACCTTCCTCTTTCTCGCTAATTAGACTCCCTGAGCTCCACTCAGGGCCTAGCCGTGGATCTCTGTATCCAGATCCCACAGTAGTTGGATGGGGTTTCTAGCACGACAGTTAGGGTGTTTAGCCATCCCATCATCAGAGTAGGTCAGTTCAGGCTGTCTCTCGACCATTGCCAGCAGTCTGTTGTGGGGGTATCTTTGTGGATTTCTGTGGGCCTCTCTAGCACTTTGCTTCTTCCTATTTTCATGTGGTCTTCATTTACCATGGTCTCCTATTCCTTGTTCTCCCTCTCTGTTCTTGATCCAGCTGGGATCTCCTGCTCCGATCCCAGCTGGATCAAGAACAGAGAGGGAGAACAAGCACTTTTCATTAAGACAAATGCAAAGAGCTAAGCTTTGGGAAATGCTGATGACTTTCAATAGAACATTTCAGTTAGTATACATTTATTTCAGAGCTATGAATTCTATTTTGGCATGTTTTTTTGAACAATGCAGAATCCTTAAGGAATGAATGATTCTCAATAATTGCTGAATTGCAGATATTTTAATAAAGTAAAAGTTTGAATCTTATTTTCACCTAAGATTCTAAAGCTAATAACATTTATTCTCAATTGTAACCTGTATACCACTTTGTTTTCAGTTGGCTTTACTAAAATTCAAAACTGAAAAGACAAGGAAATGTACCCTCCATCCATGTTCTATACTGACTTATTTAACTATTGAAATTAGAAAATATAGGCCCTGGGAGCATAAAGAGCTTTAATGAGAATACCAAAACTGGATTCTGGACTCTGAGATATTCTAGAGAAAAGGCAGGTGGTAGTTTGTGGATCTGACTCTAAATCAAACTGACCAGCCAGTCGGAGCAGTGAGTGCTCTCAGGAGCTTCCCCACTGTCTCCCATTGGTTGGGGTTAATACTCACAGCCAGCAGCAGGCAATCTCTTTCCATCAAGTCAGCCAGCTTGTTCAGCAGGCGCCCCCTCTCTGAAGCATCCATGGTGCGCCATGGGGAGCCAATCTGAAAAGCCTGTCTCGCAGCCTTGACGGCTTTGTCAACATCTGCCTGGAAATCACAGAGCATTCAGTTCAGGATGTTCAAAACACTAGATGAGCCAAAACAACATCGCACCCTTCTACACTAGGACACAGTCCTCACAAACAGAAGCTAGGTCTCCATTAACCCAAAGTCCGGAACATTCCACACACTCAGCACCACAGTATGCTGGAATTGTTTCTCTTGAGCAGTATTTCAAATAAGCTCCATAACCTTATCAAATAGTTAAACTCCTAGAACAGAAGTGCTGTTTTAATAGTTGTTACTTTATCCCATTGTAGTAGAACACAGTGTTTATTTCATTTGAAATAAGTTTCTAGTGAATACACACCCTTTATCTCATTTGATTCAGAAAATGCAATAAGAAAAACCTATTCCTCAATTTACAGACAAAGAAATTAAAGCAATGAGAAAGGCTATCTCAGGACAAATAGAGTAGCTGTAAGCCATGTGTCCTGCTCATCACTCTACAACTGCCACTTAGACCCTCATGTCCATAATCTTTCCAAGTGCTACCACCTGGGTGAAAACTAGGTAAATTTGTCTGCTAGTGTTCAATGTTTCACATTCAAACTGAAGCCCTGTGTGTATGATAAGCATCTAGCATACAAAGTGATCCATCCTAGTCCCTAAATAAGTAGAGAAGAAACTTTCTTTTATTAACAATATACTGCTTATAACCTCATTAATTGAAACAAAATAGAATAGTAAAGTCACACCCACATTGTTTAGCTTTCTTGTTTTTGATCATGTGCTTTTATCACCACTGCCTTTTTCCTTTAATTTACTCCTTTAAATTCCTAAGTCTCTTCCCTTCCAAACTTTGCCAGGGTCACTCCATTCCTCTGTAGATCCCTACTCCAATTCTTCTAGTTCACCTGCTGAAAACATCACTGCTCTTTCCAATTCTACTCCACGTGCTTTTTTAAATTTCATCAAATCAACTGCAAATAGTATGTATGTAAGGACTATTCCACAGCTATTCATCTACAGGACTCACTAATTCATGGAACCCCGTAAATCAGATGATCAAAAGGACAGTGGGCTTCAGCTTGTTGTAATGAACCTTGAGAATGAGAATACTGTGGTTTTTAAACCACACATTTTTAACTAGTGAGACACAGCTCTGTGTGGATCCCTCTGCTCAGTGTTCTGTCATTGGCCTTTGCTTAATGAGAGCTTCCTGATTTCTCTGAGGGATGAAGAGAAATGACTTTGAGACATCATGTAACCATGATGCAAAAAAAAAAAAAATCAAACAACAAAAACCTGCCTACAGAAAACTGTTATAAGTTAATTTGTTTTTGTGGTTTTGTCATTGCGTTATGACTCTCCTTTTCTCAGACCAGATATCCAATCTTACAGGACTAGAAATAGACTAAAGACATGAATTTTTAATTTGAAAAAAATGGATTCTGAGTTCTTTTTAGTTTTGAAGCACCCAAATATCTATCCACTGTATGGCATTCTATCAGTTGGCTAACAATAGGACAGTGGGGTAGAGTTTGTTCTGAAATATTCCTTAGAGGAGGAACATACAACTGAACATCACACTATCACATTATAAACACAGGCCTTGTGCTAGCTTCAGCAGCACATACACTAAAATCGGAATGATACAGAGAAGACTAGCATGGCTTCTATGCAAGAATGACACACAAATTCGTAAAACATTCCATATTTTTAGAAAGCCAAGAAAAAACAAACAGGTGAAGGAAACTGTTCAAGACCAGAAAATGGAAATAGAAGCAATAAAGAAAGCACAAGCTGAGGGAATTTTGGGAATGGAAAATCTAAGTAAACACATGTTTCCCTTAGTATCCCAGAAGAACTGTTCCCCAATTCAGTGAAAGATAATTTAAATTCATAAATGTTAAACGTATGATGTAGTATTTACATATTACCCATCAGACATCCTTTCAATAACTACACTTCTGATGCTGAGTACAAATGCTAGGTAAGTAGTAGATAAACTATACTGCTTCGAGAATAATGGCCAAAATTCTCTGCCCACTCAGTGTATACACAGCTGTGACAGGCCTCATTACATCATCTATGTTAGCAGCTACACATTTCAGATCTCAGGGTTGAATTCACCAGTGTAGAATCTGAGGGTGTGGATGGTTCACTCTATTCTAAACTGAAGTTGTGCCACAACTTGTTTGAAGTTCATTTTCCTTATCTTTCAACTCACAGCTATCTCACACTCTATGTGGCAGATATGCCTAAGGCTCACAAGATGGGGTTAACTGTAGACAATTACAAGAACTGTAATGTCCTAGAAGACAACCAATATGAAAATGATTACACAGCATCCTAGTCCATTCTAGCACATCCTTTCAGCTTCTCTACCCTCTACTACATAGGCTTTTACTCTTGTACATTGTAAACAGCCTCCCATTCATTCTCTCCACTTCCCACTTTCTCTTTAATGCTGCCAGGTTAACTTTTCACATAATTTATCTTATCACATTCCTTTGAATGTTTGTAACTGCTGGCCTCATCTACAATCCTAAGAGCAAAGATCAAAGATCTCTGTTTGACTTTCAGGTCTAACATTTTCTGGACAGACTTCACTTGCCAATGACTTCCTGTTGACATTTTCCCTACTCCAGCTAAGCCAGCCCTTCTCATTTTTGCTCCTGAAATTCTTTTTGCATAGAGAATGTTCTACCAGTAATCCCATTTACTTCCAAAATCTTACACATTTTTCAAGGCCTGTTTTAATGAAATAATCTGTCTCAATAGTCACCAGATACCTAGCTCAACGGCAGATAATAATCAAGAACTGGTTAAGTTACAAGAAGGAAGACAAGTTCTTTATCACCACAAGTTACTATTGTACTTAAGTATCATGAACCCTGTTTTAGTGATAAACAAGGAAATCTTACCTTATGCTAGTGAAACACAGAAGAATTAGAACCAACATTTTATGCTACATCTGATCTCCACATTCAATTTTCTCAGCAAGGATGCTCAATAGCACTTTGTTAAATAGTCACTGCTGTTTGTTTAGTTACTCCATATGTATAGAACAGTGATTTTTCAGTCTGTTCATTACCCTGTGAGACTCCATTTGATGAGTAGCTTTTGACTCCATTTGGAAGGAGAAAGATGATTGTAGCCCATAGGTGGACCCAGGAACTCTTATCATGTACCACCTACCTAGCACAGTCTGATTGAATGGCTTCCTCCCGGGGATAGAAAGTGGGTCATCCTGTAAGTCTACTAGGGAGAAGTGAAAGTGTGTGGGCAAGTAAGCAGACTAAAATCAAATCAAGGAAAGCAGAGAAAGAACTTATCAGACACCCAGGAAAGGGTGCAACTCCCTTGCCTGGATCCCATAAAGCGATGGACACCTAACACTGTAATGGCATGGCCTCTGAACAAGCTATTGTCTGATACCTGGTGTGTGTGTGTGTGTGTGTGTGTGTGTCAGGTGCCAAGGACTCTTTGACTCAGCTGGGTCCCTGCTATTGAAGCAGCCTACTGGACAGCCAGTCCGAATACATGTTCACCTGTCTGAACTGTCATTTTCTGTTCTAGACCCAGTTTGGCTTTTGATCTTGCAGTTGAGCTTGGCAGCTTCTCTCTCCCACCTGACCCCAGCCCTCCCCTAGCATCTCTGTCCAGGCACGGGTTCCTTACCACTAGAGATTCTTTCTAACCCACTTCTGAAACCTCTTTAACTCTGCTGCAGACTCTTTAACTTGTATTCACTGCGTAACCCATATATGCATACACAGTGTTACAAATACACTTACTTTGTGATGTGTGGTGTGAGAATTAATGTTAGTGATTAATACTATAATAAAGAATTGGCACTCTCCACAAGCAAATGACTAAGGTAAGTGGCTTTTCTACCAAATTGCTGTCATTTAAATGGCTAAATCTTGGGAATTTATTGCTATTCAATGCAGTAAGACATTATGGAAAGACATAAATACATTCGTCTACATTTTGGATATGACACATAAGCCTCCTATGACTTATTCTTGTTGATATTTATACAAAAAATCATACTTTAAGTAATTATTTTCCATTATGTGACAACATTTTTGCATTATCCAACATTACAAGTCTAATAAATGTTTTTGATAGTATTTTCTTTTAAACTTCAAGCTTCCTGAATTGTCAATTTTTATTCAGGGGCTGGCATTTCCAAGATAATTTGGAATTAAACAGAAAACAGTGACTAGGTTAACTGTGATTTACTGTCATCAAATCGTGTGGCCTAGGGAAAATAAAATATTATAGTTTTGAAGTCAGAGCCAATGAAGTGAAAAAAAATGTAATTGCTCTGGTCCCTGCCCCACCTTTGTGGTACCATGAAAGGTGGGATATGGCCCAACTGCATCCCCATTCTGCTTGTGAATGGAATCTTCAAAACCCTTAGCCTTTGACCTGACGAGAAAGTCCAGCATCCAGACCTTTACCAGGTTAGAGCTTTTCTCTAAGCAACGCTAGTCACTCTTCATTAGATTCCTCACAAATTGTTTGAACATCAACAATTCTAAAGAAACAATTTTGGAGTTTAATAACTCCAAAAAAGGATACAGATAAAGGACTGTGGTTGTGAAACAAGCTCTTGCTTATCACAGATAATGTCACTAACAATTTCCTCACAGCAGCGGTTCTCGGGCTTCCTAATGCTGTGACCCTTAAAAACAGTTCCTCCTCTGTGGTGACTCCCACCATAGGAGTGCTTTCGTTGCTACTTCACAACTATCACTTTATTGTTGTTACGAATCATAATGTAAATATCTGTGTTTTCTGATGGTCTTAGGTGACCCCTGTGGAAGAGTTGTTTGACCACCCCCCTCAACAAAGGCATCACTATCCATAGGTTGAGAACCACTGCCTTAGAGGACTCATTTGTCCTGCGAACCAGGTTGGCATAGCAACTTGGCTTGCAGCTTGCCTGGTATGAATTCTTCTCCCTGATCTTTCTAAAGGAGGGGCAGTTGTCATTAAGGACAGAGCAAATCAGTGCTCCCTGGCCAGGCTGCTGGCATGGTCAACCTTTCCTGTCTGTTCCTGAGAAAAAAGATAAACCTCACTGATTCCCCCAGCAAAGTCCTCAGCCTGCCTGACCTGCCAAGGTTTCTACTGAACCCAGGCAAAGAGTTTTGTTTTCCTGATGAGACCAACCCCAGTGTCAGAGCAAAATATCCCCTAGGAGCTAAACGTTCAAGGCTTCAGTGTTAAAGCATCACAAACATGATTTTTGTTAACTGACATCTACAGATTCATGGTCTTCTTTTTGAGTGTCGTTCTTGTCATCAAGGAGAAGGCATGACTAGCTGACATGCACCCTAAATATGTGACTATATTAAATGTCATGCCCCATATTAAATGTTAATGCTAACCCTTAAGAAATGAGACAAATTATTTAATAGTTCATGCTTCACTATGCTACAGTAGACTCAGACCATTGAAGTTTTGGGCCCTATCTCCCTACTCTAAATACTCAAGTAACATTAGAAATACTAACATCGGATGTATAGCCCATGTTTTTTATTGTTTCTTGTTCTCTTGATTTTATGTTCTTTTTTAAGTTCTTGTGTATCATGGTCATTTATTGTCTACCAGATATACATGTGGCCAATTTTCTTATGCCAAGGACAACAGAACTTTTCCCCATCTGCCTGAGCTATCATGTGTTCATGTCTTTCATTGAACTTGCAGTGGACTTTGAGCTCAGAACAGTGAGAAGCAAAGACTCCTGGCATGAACTGGACCTGTGGGTGTGGGAAAACTTACCTTGTCCCCTTCTTCCACATGGCAGATGACCTCCTCAGTCGCCGGGTTAAGGACAGGAAATTTCTTGCCACTCACTGAGTCATGCCATTCATTGTTTATGAAGATCTGTGGAGATACAGCAATGGCAGAGAAAATGCATTTAAATATGCAGCAAGTTAGAAGGCTTGATAAACTAGAGTTGAGGTATTAAATGTTGCCTAAATATTATGTGTCTTTCCCTGTCTAAAAAACGTTCACATGTGTGTCGTTTAACTCCTAAAGAAATATAGAGGTTAGACAAATTGGAATTCAAGTGTGTGTCATTAGGACATAATAATTACAAGAGGCACCCTTAGATCACTGGAAAATGTCTGAACTTCAATATTGGCACCCTGAATTCGAGTTTTATTAAGAAACTATTTTTATGTGCATTTGACTGCATTCCTTCCTCTGTATAAAGGAAATCTTAGCCTTGTAACATGGCCATTATGAGAAAGCTAACAGAAGCATTGCTGTTAATTTCCTGTGTGCATAAAAATATTGTTAGCTACTGAAATATTTTTGGGCATGGAAAGTATTGTCACTTGTTAACTTAAATTCTTTAAAGATATGTGCTTTTTTATTTGCACATATGTGTTTGCCTATGTAAGTTTCTGCGTAGCACATGCATGCAGATACCTGAGGACAGAGGGCCTTGGCTGCCTTACAACTGGAGTTACAGACGATTCTTCCTAGTCAATAAGTGTTTAAAGTATTCGAAATGAGAAAGGAGAAGTAAGACCCCAAATCCCTGGAAACAAAAATCTTTCACCCCTGAGATTCTTGGAAAACCCTCACTCAGAACTTCTCTCTGGTGAAGTCCATGTCAGACAAGACATGAGTGTGCAGGACAGGCTGACAAAAAATTAGGAGAAAATGAGAGGAGAATGACATGGTGGGAAAC